TACTGTGTTGTGTTGTAATGCATCAGCTAAATATTGTGCTCCATCCTCGCCGATAGGATTATTTCCGAGTTTCAGTGTGGTAAGTGTCTAAATAAGAAAGTAGAGGTAAAGATATGGTATAGATAAAGAGTGAATGACAATTACCGTGTTGTGTTGTAATGTATCAGCTAAATACTGTGTTCCAACATGACTGATTTGATTGCCCGAGAGATCTAGAATGATGATTGTCTAAATAATAGACGTGGTATAGATAAAGAGTTAACGAATATTACTGTGTTGTGTTGTAATGCATCAGCCAAATATTCCGCTCCAACCTGACCAATTCGATTGCCAGAGAGATCTAGACTAGTGAGTGCCTAGATGAAAGTATAGAGTTAAAGGCGTGATAAAGATAAAGAACAAATACAAACTACTGTATTATATTGTAAGGCATCAGCCAAATGTTGTGCTCCAAGGTTACCGATTTTGTTCTTCGCAAGATTTAGCGTGGTGAGAGACTAAGTGAAAAAATGGAAAGAATATGGTGCGTAGTGAGGGATGATATTTTATGAAAATCTGAATTGAAAAGATGTTAAGAAGGACGAACTAGGAATAGAAAATTTTTATCTGTGAGTTGCATTAATTTCTAAATATTTTTTAAAGAAGCAGAAATTGTTTGTTAAATGAAAAAGAGTTCTTGTCAGTAGTTAGCGGACAGTTTTCTTTTAGGTTCATTATCTATACGTACAGTCACGCATGTTCTTCAAGAGTATTTATCGAAGATTAATTTCTTTCAAACATGATGTTTTGTTCCTTTTTTTCGTTCTTATCTAAATATTGTATCTTTATGATGTCACACCTAGTTTTAAACGTGGAATATTTAGGTGAGATTGAAAAGAAAAAGGAATAGCTAATGAATTACTATAAGTGACAAATAGTTTATTTACATATGTTTTATTGAATAGTTTACCTGATATCTATGGTAACTATCAACGATTTTGTTTAATCGTTGACATACATTTCTCATTGAACATATAATTGTGAAATTAGATTGATGATCCAAAATTCGGTAGACAAGTTCAACCGGTAACGTGAGGAAGTTGATGGCAGTTTGATTTGCCATTGTAGACTATTGATAAAATGCGTGCTGTGGTAACCTTATATGTTGGTTACATATATTGGTCACTATCTTACCATTAAATACACGAATATTCATTTTATATCATAGATGTCACATGGTATTATAATATTACTTATTGCTGGGAGAAAAAACACGAAAAAAAAATGATATCAACTAGAAAATGGCAAAATTGTCATAATAATTCACTCTAAAAAAATCCATAGTTAAATAACAAATGATTATTTTACACTTGAAAAAGTCAATCGATTCTTTGTTATTTTTATTTGAATGAATAGTTAATTATATAGTATATTGTACCATATGATCAATAAACATCTCTTCTTCAACTTTGTTCTTGTTTGTCATCTTCTAAGCATAGATCTATACGAGTTCGAAAGACTGAAAGAAACAATGTTTTGCTAAAGTGCAAGTTTTTATATTAAATCCATATATATTACTTCAATAACTTTTTTTCGTTCTTTAAAACTTTGACTGAGATTTTTGTGATTAATGTTGTTTTTTGTTTACAAATAGCTGTCATTTATACCTTTTAAATTCTTTAAAATATGTTATTATTACGTCACCATTCTGACCGATTAAACGCCAACAATGTACACAGAATACATTTTTGTCAACGAGATGAATCAATCCTAATCCGTTAAAAAAAGTTTAACACAGCATCATTATTAAGTATCATGAACAATCGAATAATGTACCCAAGATTTTAAAACAAGTAGTCGAATTTTTTTTATATTAGTAAATAAAAGAATAATTGTTCTAGGGCACAATAACGGAAGGAAGTTTGAACGAGACGAGATGTCTAATAGACGGTATTTTTTATGTACTAAACATCATTTTATTATATGAAAATTATTCAATTTTATTATGAAAAATGATTTCTATCATACACATCTAAATATAAGTTAGTATTTGAAATTATTTCAACTTCTAATCTCATTCAAATGAAGATATAACATTTCTTTCTTTTTTTGTGTACTTTCAAATAGCGCAATCATGTGCTTTTAAATATTCACACAAAATTAACATTTTTCACGTCACCAGAACAAAAATGATTTTCAAAAGTACACACAACATTTTTGTACGAGAAGTTAAGAAAAAAAAATCAACAAACGAAAAGAAAAAGAAATTTTTTTTTTACAAGTATCATTCAAGGACTGTCTTTTCCTTGTGTAGTGCCATTGGCTCCTGATTTTTTCTTTGTAAATCGTCGTTTCTTTTCCCATTCAACTGTTTCTATTTGTAGTTTACTAAGTTGTGCTAATTTACTTAACATATCCGAAGGACAATTAGTGAATGGATCCGGATATTCATAAAGATCTAAATATGAAAAAGAAAATCAACAATATAATTCATATAGTTATTGTCTTATGAAATCTTATAGGTAACAATTCTATCAATTTATGTTTTTTTATTTTCATCGTACAAATACTAATTTGAATAAATTTATATTCCAGAAATTTCTATAATTAATTATACAGACTTCGTTTTTGAGGGTTTTTAAGATTAATATAAAAAAATATTTCTATACCTTTTGAAATCGTTGTTTTATCATGTTGAACACGTGGTCTAGTATTTTGACTGGCATTTCGTTGTAATTGTTGGGATGTCATATATGCTGATGACATTGCTGGTTGTCTTGCTGGACGCATGGATGATGAAGAAGATGTATTTGTTTTAAATCTTTCGGTTGTGATTAATAAACTGTTTGTAGTCGTGTCAGCTAATGCTCTTTGTCGAACAGTGCTTCCTCCCGTTATTGTATTTCCATAAGCAAATAAAGATGAATTCGATGATGGATGACTTGTTGTACTCGTTGCCATCCTAAGAGCTATACCTGAAGAAATAGGTAGATAGGTATTGCTTGATGCAATTATAGGCGAATCATAATGTGTCGCATGACGTTCTAAAAGAATAAACAATATATATGTATATAGATACGCAAACAACACTTAATGTTAAAAAGTAAGAAAAAAAAGATTTTTTTTCTTTGCTGCTGCATGCCTGACTCTTTGCCGAGTAGGGCGTGTTTTATTTCAACATTTGATGTTGTCAATTCTTTTCTTTTTCTCACTCATTTGCATTTGGTTGCCTCTCGTCAAGTCGTTCTCTTCTTTCTTTTCTTTCTTTCATCAGTAACCAACCTTTTCTTTTACAAGAACATTGTAGAATCTCGACATAAAAAACATACGTTTAGGAAAAAAAAGAAATTAAATATATTCTCTCAATCATAGTATTGAACTTGAAAAAAGAAAGAACAGGAAAGCTTTGTCTTCACCTACTCAGTCCGTCAGTTCTTAATATCGAATTTGGCCTCATTGGAGACGAAGAAGAAAAGGAACATGAAGACGATGATTGTTGCGCAGATGGAGTTGAACTAGCTGTAGTTGATGTTCCCATTGATAACAGAGAATGTTTTCTAGATGATTGTGAACTATTATCAATATGTTCTTTGGTATCTAATACGAAAAGAATATTTTTTCTTCTAATGAATTTTTTCGTTTCCTACTATCTTTTGTTAATTTCAATATAACAACATTATCAGTAGTAGTATTTGATCGTTGTATTTGTTCATTACCAATAGTTTTAAATGAAGAAGCATAACGTCTTGCGCTTGATAAATCTATTGTTAATATATTAAAACAAATAAATTAGTGATATGATTTCTTGTTTCTCTATACCTGTCGATGATTGAGCGACATTCGATGGAGGTGAAATAAGAAATGAAGGTATAAATGCATCATCAATATCGTCATTTTTTGATAATAATTTTTTCGTTGGTGCTGAATGTTCACGTTGTAATGGTTTATGATTAAGATCAACTTTTGCGAAAAGTCTAAAAAAATAAATATAAATTTAGATAATTTGAAAAAAGAAATCTAACCGTCTATTAATTTCTCTCTTGGTTAATTTTGATAATACTTTTTGCCATTCAACCAACGGAGTATGAACTGCATTCTTCCATGGAAGATAGTCACAACTAATTGTACAACTCATCTATTCCTTGTACGTTCTATATAAGATGTTGTTTTTTAAAAATAATTTTATGAATTCGTCTAGGTTTATACATCTTTTTTTTTTGTTCTTATTGATGATTGTTTTTCTAAAAATGAAAATAATGTATTTTATATTATTTCTTTGTTAAAATGTTTGCTATTTACTATTTTAAACGATCGACAAGTGCAGTCTGCATTTATTATGATTAAGAAGGGCGGCATTGTGTTGATTATTAAATGTACATAAAAACAATTTTCAGACGAAAGTTGGTTACATCTATTTTAGCTTTCAATAGATATATCGACCTGAGAATAACTTAGAACTGTTTCAACTCGTTTATTTTATTTAAGAGTTAGATATGGTTTCTTGCTCATACTCCATTATATGTGACTTAATCATGTGTAATAATCAAATGTTAGAAGTGAATTTTTTAATAAATAGAAAACGCGAAGATATTGAATAAGAAAAAAATTTCGAAATGACCCCAAATTTGGTTTTATTATTGAAAAATATTTACAATTCAATTGTTTGAATTATTTCTATAAAAAGTTAAAAGCATTTTACAGAACATCACACATTATACAATTTATGCCTAAAAGAAAAATTTGTTTTACTATAATTTTATTAAAGTAATAGTACAGTGTATGAAATGATTAGATGCTAACTTTTTCTGACTAATAGATAACTAAAATTCCTTTCGCTTATTTCGCTATATGGATAAATGCATCAACTATTAGTAAAAACTAAATCGCATTCATGAGTATAATATAAATGTCAATAGTTAGTTCATTAGAGCGAAATATGTAATAAATTTTTTATAATTTATAAGAACAAACTGTTTATTTATGCATCACTAATAATGATAATATTTTCTTTACCTTAGACCAATAAATAGAAACGATTTCTTTACAGATTCTAAACGAAAGGAATCACTCCCTAGAAACGATTTTCATCCTATAAAGTCTATTATTCTTGCGATAGTATCAAATAGATTCGTATCCTTAATTTGTTATATAGTTTACTAGTTTTAAAATTCAATCAAACCTATTTCTTTCTATTCTGAGACTTCGAAGAAAAGATAAACCGATTAGTCTAGATCGATTTTCAAAGAAATGTTTTAGACGAGGAAAAAATAAGTGGCTGCCAATAAGAACGAACATAATATATTCTTTGTTAAAAATGTCATTCTCTAATCAACATCGTTTTATTTCCATTGTGTTAAACTAAAAATATACCGCACCGCCTCCGTTCAATGCGAAATTTTTAGCAGATAGAGATAATACTATTGTTTGATACAGGAGTATACATGTCATGTCATGTAATGCATGATGCAATCATATTTTATTGTAAAGTTCTGTAAATAATTCAATAGAAAAAGGAAAAAAGTAATCATATGATTATAGAAGATTACAAAAACCTGTTCTGAATAACAGATGTCGCTTGTAATCAAGTATTATCTTTAGAATTGAAAAAATTCTAAAATAAATATATTTCTCTTTCGTTAATCGAGATGATAATTAAAATCATTTGATAAAAATTTAGTTAGAATCTGATTTTAAATATAAGGTATTTCGATACATATGACGTTTCTGGTTAACAATTAAACCAATCGAAATTTATTTCCTTTTATGAGAAAAAGAAAAAGAGATAAACACGATAAATAATAACTATAATTACACATAAGAGAGATGTCAATGTAATTTTCAATATATTGCCATTAATCTAGTTGAAGAAAAAAAAACATGTAGTACAAATTATGTCCTTTAATTTTGCATAATACAATCACAAGAAATGGGTGGTACGATAGGATCAATACCAAGTTCAGTTTCATTTCCAATATTCGGAGTCGGTTTAACTACTCTTTGTTTAAGTATATGTTTTTGTTGCTATTTATGGCGGTAAGTTTTTAAATGAAAATTTTTTCTCTAATTAATTCTTGTATAATTTTAGCCTTAGACGAGATACATTTAGAGAAAAAGGCTATCGAAAAGATCAATATATGCGTTGTAAAGTAAAAAATTCCGTAAGTTTTTGATCATATTATAAAATAAGATTTTTATTTTCTCATCATATCTAGAGTTGTGTTATTTGTTTTGATGATTTTTATCAAGATGAAGAAATTGCTGTTTGTCCATGTGAACATGGATTTCATAAACGTTGCCTATCACCATGGTTACAACAAAATTGTACATGTCCAATGTGTAATATGTGTATCAAACCGGAAATATCCGGTTCATGTCAATTGCCTGATATGCTTTAAATAAATTTCGACTTGCATATATATTATTTATTTTTTATATTACACGCATTTAGTCAGTTACCCGAAAAAAGAGACAAAATAAAAGAAGCATTCATCACATCTATTTATATGTTGACATATAAATATTATTTTAAAGTTTTTTTATAGATACGTTCTTTATTGTTGTTACTGTATTTATTTTTCGCTCTCTCATTCTTTTCATGTAACAGATCTTCTTTGTATATTCATTATTTTATTTTATGTTAATATAATGCTCAAATTAATTGAAAATATTCATGAAATCAATGCAACGATATTCGAATTGAAATTATGTTTATTATTTAATCAAAAAAAAAAAAAAAAAGAAATTTTTTTATTTATTTAATTTTATAATTTCTATGTATTTATTAGCATATCAAAAAAAGTAAATTAATAATATGTACACAATCAGCAATAGTATTTCATCAAAAAATATTTAAAAAAAAACACCTGAGTATATTAATCTTTATACAGGGCTTTTTTTAACAGGAATTTGTTTGGATTTTGAAACAGTTAATTTGCCTGCTACAACATGTGGATCGGTCATAAATGTTCTCATATATGATCGATGTATTTCACGTAATTCATCACGTACACGCATACGTGCTTTTGAATCATTAGCTAAATGTTGGCTAATAGAATTTGCAATAAGTGGACGAACTTGAATATCACTCGGTCGATGATCAAACGATGTACGAGATTTATCACGAAGAAATTCACATAATGCTGGATAACGTGGAATATGAAGTAAATAGAATTTATCTTTTTTATTTCTTGCAGCTTTTCTTCTAATAACTTCTTGTAAAGCAACTGGTAATTGAGCCATACCACTATCTTCATCATTACTTTCATTAACTGAAGAAGAGAAAAGGCAAGAAAAATTAATAATATAGTTATTTAAATTTCTCTTAGAAAAATATTTCGGAAGTTATTATCTATTATTCGTTATAACCAAGTCTATTTTTATCTTTTGAAAATGATAAGAAATCATGCAGAATAATTAGATATTAAATTCATAGTTAGAATATTTAAATTTCAATCTTATACTCATTAAAAAAAAAGAAGAAGAATCAATTGAACGATCTTTAAAAGTATGTTAGTTCATTTTCTACTATTCTTCAGGAATTTATTTATGCATGATGTCCGTCATAGAAAAATAATCAATGAATGCTTAGAATGTAACTTGAATTCATCAGTTAACAATGGTATGCGTAAAAATAAGAAGAAGCACGTTGAAGAAAACTATGTCGATTCAAAAGATAAGAAAGGCTAAGCTAATCATGTGCATGAATAATTTTAAATAAAATTAGGTCAAAAAAAGTGAGCTCGAAGTTTGGAGTTTACGGATGTCTAGTAGAAATAAATTGTTTGCTTGTGTGTCCTCAGGGTCAAAAAAACATCGAAAACCAATTTTTCGAAAAAGATATTTCTAGAGGTATTTCGATACGGGGACTATGGTGAGGGAGGGGGGTGAAGAGGGATCAAAGGTCAAAACAACGTCGAAAATCAGTTTTTGACGATTTTCATTTGTTTTTGCAGTAAATGTAAAGAAAATGCATTTCTACGAGAAAAAGCTAAGCGAGTCCGCGGACGAGCGTTACTTGTAAATACTATTGTACCACAAAGTCGTAAACTCCAAATTTCGAGCTCATTTTTTTTGATCATAAAATTATATTTTAAATCATTTTATGTATTTACTGATCTGAATGTAATCATAGATAATGTCTTACCATTCAACGCTGTAGTATTTGCTTCATCGGAAGGAAGATTAGAAGAATTATTGGGAGTATCAGACTCTCTACCTTGTGCCGCCCACGACCAGAGTTCCGCCATATCTACATGAAATTTAAATATTTGCTTTTTTTTTATAAACAAACAAAGAATGTTGTGGGGAGAGGAAAATTCTCGGTTTGTCTCTATGTCGCGAAGGTTTTAATTGTCACGTCGTCCTCAAATTGGCATAACACATAACGCATGCCTTTTTTTCGGTAAATATTATATAAAGTTTATTAAATACTAAATTTAATATTTGAAGTTATTCTATTGGTTATTAGTCATGTAAATATTTACCTTCTTCCTCACTTCCTACGTCTGAATCATTCCCATTTTTTGATGTCGGTTTGCGTGAATTTGCACTTGTATTCATTGATGTTTCAAGTTCTTCATTATCATTATCATTTTCATTATCATTATCAGGAATATTTCCTAACACAAATAAATTTAAAAAAAAACAATTTTCTTCTTACAAAATTCATTCTAAACTTACTAATAAATCGACTATCATTAGCATCAAAATTTTGTGTATCTTCAATATCGGCAATAATAAAAGCTAAAAATAAAAAAAGATTTTCTACTAGACGAAAAAACAAATCTTAAATAAACTAACGATTATTTTTTTTGCTACGTGTTATAACTGAATTTGTCGATGATGATGGTAAAGTTGAATTTTTCATTCGATAATCATCATCAGGTTCATGTACTGAATTATTCCCATCATCTACTTCCTCTTCTTCATCTCCAATTGATTGATTAGTACATTTACAACCAGTACAATGATGTGAATTCAATTGTTCTTTCAATCTTGCATTGACTTCTTGTAATTGTTTATATTTTCGATAGATTTGATTAATATATTTATCATTAATTTCATTATATGCATTGATTATTTCATCAGTTAATTCATAAAGTTCTTCGATACGTTTTCTTGCTTTTGTATCAACTGATTTTGAAGCTAAATAAATTAAGAATTTATAGATTTGATAGTAAATAAATAGTTAAATAAAACCTGATTGAGATACGGATGATAATCGTTTAAGATTTGTACGTTTTCCCATAACGTGTTTTAAATCAAATGAATTCAAATGTCAATAAACACCTTTGTCCAATATTTGCCTAAAGATGTCACTTTTATTTTTTAATTATAATAAAAATAAATTTAGAAAAATACAAAATTCAAATTGAAATTTTATAATTTCTCTTTAAATTATTTAATATTTTTTTTTGTTGGATTGATTATGTTGATATGACAACACAATGAGCTATAAGAAGACATGATGGCGCTTTGTGGTAGCATTCTTCTATAAACCGCAAAAAATGAAGTATCAAGTAGGATGCTAAATTTTCAAATAGAGGAGGATAGTTTTGTTAAAGAATTCTATTTTATAAAATTTAGACTGAATATCAACGAAATTATCAAAAACGAACACCAAAAAAATCCGATGAACTTCCCGTAGAAGAGAGAAAATTAAATGAAGGTCATTTGAATTTTATAATTTCTCATATGAATTAGCCTTACTTTCTATTAATTCAGTACCAATTCGACGTTCTGCATCATCCCCATCTCGTCGACGTGGTCGATCTGTCCCATCATCACCTACACGTGATGATTCTAATTTTGCGGTCATTGGACCAAATGAAAAATTTTCTCAATCTCAACTTTATCGAATGAAACAACCGGTTAAAGATAATCATCGTGTTGCTAAATCACAAGAATTTGCTTTATTAGGAAAAAATGCAAAATTTGAAAATAATGTGGTTTATCCATTAAGAAAACCTGTTGTAACTGATACACCTCAAGTAAGATTATCTAAAATAAAAGAATTTATTGACTAAAAATGGAAGCTTATTAAGACATATAAATACTGAATAGAATTTATTCTCTATAGGACGGATACTATTTGTAATATGTTTTAAAACGACAATAGTTTGTCATGAACGGATTAGAATGATGCCTAAAATAGAAAGAGATTTTAGTTTTTGATGCTTCACTACTCTCAAATGAATACTCATTCATTGTTTTATTTATACTTTTCTATATCATATCGAGAAAATTTAATATCTCGTCAAGCGAGATTCCAGGAAGTGAATCTATTTATGGCACACGGAGAAAGTTTAAATGATTGGAATCGAATGAATATATTTCTAATTGTTTTTAATTTTAAAAATAGACTGTTGTTGTACGAAGACGTAAAAGTGAAAATCATTCATGTGGTGTTCAAACTGTAAGTAGAATTTAAAATTAATTTCGATCATTTATTTTAATATTAAATTTAGGAATTGAAGAGAACAACTAGTGCTTCATATGATCTTCGTCATCAACGTGATGGCGTAGCTAATCGAGTAAATCAAATTATTTTTGAAATTGAAAAATATATTTTTTCTTCTTTACATCAGAAACGACGTACTCCACAAAGTGAATATAAACAACAATATAACTGGAAACAATCAGCAGAAATTTTACCTAGTAATCAAGCATCGAGTGAAGAATCTAAAGTGGTTAGTTTCTTGTTCGAAAAAAATGTATGTTTGAAGTTTTAGAAAAAAATAATCTATTTTCAGCGTGAACGACGTTCAGAACCAAAAGCATCGTCATCTGCTGTTCATTCACCAAAAAAAGCTTCTGTAGCTGTCAATACACCAGCACGTGTTGAAATTGATGTTAATAGAAATAAGCAACAAGCTCAGCGACCTCCTACTCATTCAACAAAAGCATTTCGTCCAAAACGAGATGATACAACTGAATATCAACAACGTTATAAACCTACTCTTATTGAGCCAAAACATTCAGAAGCACAAAAAACATATCATGCTCAATACGTAGATGAACGAACAAAACGAAATCAAATTCCTGAAGTTGAACATGCGCATACAGATGATGAAGGCACTGGAGGAAATGTCGATTTAGGAACTGAATTTCGACAAAAATATCCACATGGAAAATTAAGGTTTGAAAGTAGAATATCAAGTTCATTTCGAAAAATATATTATTTATTTTTTAAGACGTTGGAAATCAGAATATCAATCAACATATAAACCATTTTCGCGTTTTGATTATAAAAATGGTAAATGGTTTAAAGATCCAGCTGCGGTATATATTTATCTATTATCTTTTAATTTAAATCTTCATCTTCTTCATATTATTAATTTAGGATGAAAAAGGTTTTAATCCAAATTTATTCTGGTATAAAGAATTAATGTCTACACGAAAACGCGCTGATGAATTTCGTTCGAAAGCAGAAACAGATCATTTTAATCCTGATCATACTCTTCAATTGAAAACTGGTTATGGTACTGATAATTATCACGCATGGGATACAGATGCTGATGATGATGATAGTGAAAGTATTATTTCAATTGATAGGTATGAAGTACTGGAAAAATACACAAAAACTATTTTGTTTTGTTTTATAGAGATTTAGAACGTGAACGTCTTGAAGGTGAACGTCGTCGTGAAAAAGATGCTAAACGAAATGAAGATGAACATATTCATCATGAAAAGTATGTCGATGAGTTAACGAGATTTGAGTTTATTGAAACTTTTTTAAGACCTAAAAATATTAAAAAACCAACAACATTTAAAACTGATCGAGTTGCTCAAACAGATCATAAGGTTGATCGAGTTATCTATGTTGACGAACCACCAGTAAAACAACCAAGTGCAGCAACAAAAGCTTTTGTACGTAATCTTGGTTCGTCATCTGTTCAACAACATATGTCTTGGGATTCTGATAGTATTTATAGCCAACGAACAAATTCAGATGTGTACGTTTTTTTTGTCATCAGTATTAAATATTATTTTTCTATAAATTAACAGTGATTTGAAATCAATAACTGCAAGAGATTTACATAATAAACATTATCAAAATGATAATTCAACAAATCGAACGAATGTTAGTCGTAAATCATCACCAAAGAAAAAACAATCGCGAGGAACAGAAACTCATTCACCTCTTCCAAATGATCGACAACAAAAAACGTGTTGTTCATCTCAAATAAATGAACGAACAACTCACGTATATACATATTCATCTTTTTTCATTCTATCATTAATTTCATCTTTTTTATCATCCTATAGCAAAATGGAACACATACGAATTATACTCGTCCGGCAACAAGTTATCAAGAAACTTCGAATGCTACGGGTAGACCAAGTTATGATACACATACATATGATAAACGTCCTCATAGCAGCATGAATGAATGTAAATATTCTTAATTTTTATTATGTATGACATATTCTTTTTTTAAATAGATTGTTCATATCCCGCTAGTCGATTTAAAGATGAAGTAACAGATTATTATTATGGTGGTAATGAGAATAAACAACAGTATCAATATACACCAACTACTAAACCTTCGTTACAAAATCAGGCTGGATCACAAGATGAACGTTATGGTCGAAATTATCCTACACGTAATCAAGGTAAAATTGATATATATTATAGGTTATCATATATTTTGAATTTTTGTATTCATATAGATGATGATGTTCTTTCGGTTAACTCAGTTCGATCATTATCATCCAGTTGTAGTTTAGCATCACAAACACTTGAACGTGCTCATCAAAATATGAATAAATATTGGGGAGATAATTCACCGAAAAAAACCTATAATGCCAAGCATTAATCGAAGATTTTCGAAGTGAAAGACTATATCCAGTTGCGTGTATTTTTTTTTACATTAAGATATGATTTGTATTGTCGTTTTTTTTT